GCTTCAAATTTCTGTTAACAAATAATCTTTTGGCCCTTCTGTAAAGAGAAATGTCAGAGATTGTTATGTCTTATTTGTTATGTTGGAGTTTGTCGCCTGAGATGTCCGATATTTCTTATGCTTGAGATTGTGTTCGTGGCATTGAAGAGTTTAAAGAGTATGTTTCTGCTGGATAATACGTATGCGAATTTTATTCGAGTTTGTGGTACCGTAAATGTGATGAACGGTTCTTAGTAGTTTGCACACATAGTGTTTAACCTAAATCTGTTTCACGTTTCCCCAAAGGGTGAGCAACAATATTGGGCCTCACTTAACTTTTCTCGAATGATTCAATGTGGAAAACATCCTAGAATTATGGATATCCACAGTTGAAATGATTCTTTTTTAAGTTATTAAATTTATCGATAAGATTTCTATATTCTTCGAAAATATAACGGTGTTTACAGTCTTCTTATTTTTACTGAAAATGATAAAATAAGCCGTACAATAATTTCTAATGCCGTGAGTAGATATGGGTCAACTTTTAATGTTCAATACTGGCGCTCGGAGCTACCTGGCACGTCGTCCGTGGCCTAGTGCCTATAAGTGTTATCAAGGCCATTGTCGTCCTTAAAGCAAATTTGTTGTCCACTATTCACCCAATGAAAAACAAATAAACAAAACAACAAATATACATTTTTTTCGGCTGGTTTCGCAGTTATGTTTGGTCATCTGAGAATTTAAACGTAACAACTTATTGAAAATATTCAACGATCTGTCGTAAAACTTGGAATTTATCAATTTTATGATTTGCAATATTGTAACTTACCTTAAGTAAATATTGAAACCTACGGTTAATTAGTCGATGGTTTTTCTAATCGGAATTTCATAATCTCCGCGGATTTTTTTGCATGGTTCAACATTGTATCCATGATTACTACGATTATTCTGATTATGGTCTTTTGGCATAGTATTCCAAGTGCTCTATGTCCATGTTCCTTTCCTATAATCTATGAATCCATAGATATCTAACTAATAACTTTAAAAAACTTGATGTACAATTCATGCGTATATAACTATATAATTTCGAACGCGAATTTAATTCATGTGTTTTGAATAGTTTTTAAAACATAAGTCCCCTGATAAAACGTTAAATCTTAATGGCATTTCTTATTCTGAATGCATATATACTAGAAATAATGCTTTTGAACCTTTAAAGTTACAAAAGGATGCTTTATTTATTTCAATGTAAAAGTAAACCGCTTCAAATTTCTGTTAACAAATAATCTTTTGGCCCTTCTGTAAAGAGATATGTCAGAGATTGTAATGTCTTATTTGTTATGTTGGAGTTTGTCGCCTTTGAGATGTCCGATATTTCTTATGCTTGAGATTGTGTTCGTGGCATTGAAGAGTTTAAAGAGTATGTTTCTGCTGGATAATACGTATGCGAATTTTATTCGAGTTTGAGGTACTGAAACTGTGATGAACGGTTCTTAGTAGTTTTCACGCATAGTGTTTAACCTAAATCTGATTCACGTTTCCCCAAAGGGTGAGCAACAATATTGGTTCTCACCTAACTTTTCGCGAATGNGTTGAAATGATTCTTGTTTAAGTTATCACATTTATCGATAAGATTTCTATATTCATCGATAATATAACGGTGTTTACAGTCTTCTTATTTTTACTGAAAATGATAAAATAAGCCGTACAATAATTTCTAATGCCGTGAGTAGATATGGGTCAACTTTTAATGTTCAATACTGGCGCTCGGAGCTACCTGGCACGTCGTCCGTGGCCTAGTGCCTATAAGTGTTATCAAGGCCATTGTCGTCCTAAAAGAAAATTTGTTGTCCACTTTTCACCCAATGAAAAAGAACAAAACAAAACAAAAAATATAAATTTTTTTCAGCTTAGTTCGCAGTTATGTTTAGTCATCTGAGAATTTAAACGTAACAACTTACTGAAAATATTCAACGATCAGTCGTAAAACTTGGAATTTATCAATTTTATGATTTGCAATATTGTAACTTACCTAAAGTAAATATTGAAACCTACGGTTAATTAGTCGATGGTTTTTCTAATCGGAATTTCATAATCTCCGCGGATTTTTTTGCATGGTTCAACATTGTATCCATGATTACTACGATTATTCCTATTAAGGTCCTTGGGCATAGTATTCAAAGTGCAATATGTCCATGTTACTTTTCTGTAATCTGTGAAACCATAGATCTCTAACTAATAACTTTAAAAAACTTGATGTACAATTCATGCGTAAATAACTATATAATTTTGAACGCGAATTTAATTCATGTGTTTTGAATAGTTTTTAAAACATAAGTCCCCTGATAAAACGTTAAATCTTAATGGCATTTCTTATTCTGAATGCATATATACTAGAAATAATGCTTTTGAACCTTTAAAGTTACAAAAGGATGCTTTATTTATTTCAATGTAAAAGTAAACCGCTTCAAATTTCTGTTAACAAATAATCTTTTGGCCCTTCTGTAAAGAGATATGTCAGAGATTGTAATGTCTTATTTGTTATGTTGGAGTTTGTCGCCTTTGAGATGTCCGATATTTCTTATGCTTGAGATTGTGTTCGTGGCATTGAAGAGTTTAAAGAGTATGTTTCTGCTGGATAATACGTATGCGAATTTTATTCGAGTTTGTGGTACCGTAAATGTGATGAACGGTTCTTAGTAGTTTGCACACATAGTGTTTAACCTAAATCTGTTTCACGTTTCCCCAAAGGGTGAGCAACAATATTGGGCCTCACTTAACTTTTCTCGAATGATTCAATGTGGAAAACATCCTAGAATTATGGATATCCACAGTTGAAATGATTCATTTTTAAGTTATTAAATTTATCGATAAGATTTCTATATTCTTCGAAAATATAACGGTGTTTACAGTCTTCTTATTTTTACTGAAAATGATATAATAAGCCGTACAATAATTTCTAATGCCGTGAGTAGATATGGGTCAACTTTTAATGTTCAATACTGGCGCTCGGAGCTACCTGGCACGTCGTCCGTGGCCTAGTGCCTATAAGTGTTATCAAGGCCATTGTCGTCCTTAAAGCAAATTTGTTGTCCACTATTCACCCAATGAAAAACAAATAAACAAAACAACAAATATACATTTTTTTCGGCTGGTTTCGCAGTTATGTTTGGTCATCTGAGAATTTAAACGTAACAACTTATTGAAAATATTCAACGATCTGTCGTAAAACTTGGAATTTATAAATTGTAAGATTTGCAATATTGTAACTTACCTTAAGTAAATATTGAAACCTACGGTTAATTAGTCGATGGTTTTTCTAATCGGAATTTCATAATCTCCGCGGATTTTTTTGCATGGTTCAACATTGTATCCATGATTACTACGATTATTCCTATTAAGGTCCTTGGGCATAGTATTCAAAGTGCAATATGTCCATGTTACTTTTCTGTAATCTGTGAAACCATAGATCTCTAACTAATAACTTTAAAAAACTTGATGTACAATTCATGCGTATATAACTATATAATTTCGAACGCGAATTTAATTCATGTGTTTTGAATAGTTTTTAAAACATAAGTCCCCTGATAAAACGTTAAATCTTAATGGCATTTCTTATTCTGAATGCATATATACTAGAAATAATGCTTTTGAACCTTTAAAGTTACAAAAGGATGCTTTATTTATTTCAATGTAAAAGTAAACCGCTTCAAATTTCTGTTAACAAATAATCTTTTGGCCCTTCTGTAAAGAGATATGTCAGAGATTGTAATGTCTTATTTGTTATGTTGGAGTTTGTCGCCTTTGAGATGTCCGATATTTCTTATGCTTGAGATTGTGTTCGTGGCATTGAAGAGTTTAAAGAGTATGTTTCTGCTGGATAATACGTATGCGAATTTTATTCGAGTTTGTGGTACCGTAAATGTGATGAACGGTTCTTAGTAGTTTGCACACATAGTGTTTAACCTAAATCTGTTTCACGTTTCCCCAAAGGGTGAGCAACAATATTGGGCCTCACTTAACTTTTCTCGAATGATTCAATGTGGAAAACATCCTAGAATTATGGATATCCACAGTTGAAATGATTCTTTTTTAAGTTATTAAATTTATCGATAAGATTTCTATATTCTTCGAAAATATAACGGTGTTTACAGTCTTCTTATTTTTACTGAAAATGATATAATAAGCCGTACAAAAATTTCTAATGCCGTGAGTAGATATGGGTCAACTTTTAATGTTCAATACTGGCGCTCGGAGCTACCTGGCACGTCGTCCGTGGCCTAGTGCCTATAAGTGTTATCAAGGCCATTGTCGTCCTTAAAGCAAATTTGTTGTCCACTATTCACCCAATGAAAAACAAATAAACAAAACAACAAATATACATTTTTTTCGGCTGGTTTCGCAGTTATGTTTGGTCATCTGAGAATTTAAACGTAACAACTTATTGAAAATATTCAACGATCTGTCGTAAAACTTGGAATTTATCAATTTTATGATTTGCAATATTGTAACTTACCTTAAGTAAATATTGAAACCTACGGTTAATTAGTCGATGGTTTTTCTAATCGGAATTTCATAATCTCCGCGGATTTTTTTGCATGGTTCAACATTGTATCCATGANCTGAGAATTTAAACGTAACAACTTACTGAAAATATTCAACGATCAGTCGTAAAACTTGGAATTTATCAATTTTATGATTTGCAATATTGTAACTTACCTAAAGTAAATATTGAAACCTACGGTTAATTAGTCGATGGTTTTTCTAATCGGAATTTCATAATCTCCGCGGATTTTTTTGCATGGTTCAACATTGTATCCATGATTACTACGATTATTCTGATTATGGTCTTTTGGCATAGTATTCCAAGTGCTCTATGTCCATGTTCCTTTCCTATAATCTATGAATCCATAGATATCTAACTAATAACTTTAAAAAACTTGATGTACAATTCATGCGTATATAACTATATAATTTCGAACGCGAATTTAATTCATGTGTTTTGAATAGTTTTTAAAACATAAGTCCCCTGATAAAACGTTAAATCTTAATGGCATTTCTTATTCTGAATGCATATATACTAGAAATAATGCTTTTGAACCTTTAAAGTTACAAAAGGATGCTTTATTTATTTCAATGTAAAAGTAAACCGCTTCAAATTTCTGTTAACAAATAATCTTTTGGCCCTTCTGTAAAGAGATATGTCAGAGATTGTAATGTCTTATTTGTTATGTTGGAGTTTGTCGCCTTTGAGATGTCCGATATTTCTTATGCTTGAGATTGTGTTCGTGGCATTGAAGAGTTTAAAGAGTATGTTTCTGCTGGATAATACGTATGCGAATTTTATTCGAGTTTGAGGTACTGAAACTGTGATGAACGGTTCTTAGTAGTTTTCACGCATAGTGTTTAACCTAAATCTGATTCACGTTTCCCCAAAGGGTGAGCAACAATATTGGTTCTCACCTAACTTTTCGCGAATGATTCAATGTGGAAAACATCCTAGAATTATGGATATCCACAGTTGAAATGATTCTTTTTTAAGTTATTAAATTTATCGATAAGATTTCTATATTCTTCGAAAATATAACGGTGTTTACAGTCTTCTTATTTTTACTGAAAATGATAAAATAAGCCGTACAATAATTTCTAATGCCGTGAGTAGATATGGGTCAACTTTTAATGTTCAATACTGGCGCTCGGAGCTACCTGGCACGTCGTCCGTGGCCTAGTGCCTATAAGTGTTATCAAGGCCATTGTCGTCCTTAAAGCAAATTTGTTGTCCACTATTCACCCAATGAAAAACAAATAAACAAAACAACAAATATACATTTTTTTCGGCTGGTTTCGCAGTTATGTTTGGTCATCTGAGAATTTAAACGTAACAACTTATTGAAAATATTCAACGATCTGTCGTAAAACTTGGAATTTATAAATTGTAAGATTTGCAATATTGTATCTTACCTTAAGTAAATATTGAAACATACGGTTAATTAGTCGATGGTTTTTCTAATCGGAATTTCATAATCTCCGCGGTTTTTTTTGCATGGTTCATCTTTTTATCCATGATTACTACGATTACTCCTATTAAGGTCCTTGGGCATAGTATTCAAAGTGCAATATGTCCATGTTACTTTTCTGTAATCTGTGAAACCATAGATCTCTAACTAATAACTTTAAAAAACTTGATGTACAATTCATGCGGAAATAACTTTATAATTTTGAACGCGAATTTAATTCATGTGTTTTGAATAGTTTTTAAAACATAAGTCCCCTGATAAAACGTTAAATCTTAATAGCATTTCTGATTCTGAATGCATAAATACTAGAAATAATGCTTTTGAACTTTTGAAGTTACAAAAAACTTGATGTACAATTCATGCGTATATAACTATATAATTTCGAACGCGAATTTAATTCATGTGTTTTGAATAGTTTTTAAAACATAAGTCCCCTGATAAAACGTTAAATCTTAATAGCATTTATTATTCTGAATGCATAAATACTAGAAATAATGCTTTTGAACTTTTGAAGTTACAAAAGGATGCTATATTTTATTTCAAAGTAAAAGTAAACCGCTTCAAATTTCTGTTAACAAATAATCTTTTGGCCCTTTTGTAACGAGAAATGTCAGAGATTGTAATGTCTTATTTGTTATGTTGGAGATTGTCGCCTTTGAAAAGTCCGATACTTCTTATGCTCGAGATTGTGTTCGTGGCATTGGAGTGTTTAAAGAGTATGTTTCTACTGGATAATACGTATGCGAATTTTATTCGAGTTTGAGGTACTGAAACTGTGATGAACGGTTCTTAGTAGTTTTCACGCATAGTGTTTAACCTAAATCTGATTCACGTTTCCCCAAAGGGTGAGCAACAATATTGGGCCTCACTTAACTTTTCTCGAATGATTCAATGTGGAAAACATCCTAGAATTATGGATATCCACAGTTGAAATGATTCTTTTTTAAGTTATTAAATTTATCGATAAGATTTCTATATTCTTCGAAAATATAACGGTGTTTACAGTCTTCTTATTTTTACTGAAAATGATATAATAAGCCGTACAATAATTTCTAATGCCGTGAGTAGATATGGGTCAACTTTTAATGTTCAATACTGGCGCTCGGAGCTACCTGGCACGTCGTCCGTGGCCTAGTGCCTATAAGTGTTATCAAGGCCATTGTCGTCCTTAAAGCAAATTTGTTGTCCACTATTCACCCAATGAAAAACAAATAAACAAAACAACAAATATACATTTTTTTCGGCTGGTTTCGCAGTTATGTTTGGTCATCTGAGAATTTAAACGTAACAACTTATTGAAAATATTCAACGATCTGTCGTAAAACTTGGAATTTATAAATTGTAAGATTTGCAATATTGTAACTTACTTTAAGTAAATATTGAAACCTACGGTTAATTAGTCGATGGTTTTTCTAATCGGAATTTCATAATCTCCGCGGTTTTTTTTGCATGGTTCAACTTTTTATCCATGATTACTACGATTATTCCTATTAAGGTCCTTGGGCATAGTATTCAAAGTGCAATATGTCCATGTTACTTTTCTGTAATCTGTGAAACCATAGATCTCTAACTAATAACTTTAAAAAACTTGATGTACAATTCATGCGTATATAACTATATAATTTCGAACGCGAATTTAATTCATGTGTTTTGAATAGTTTTTAAAACATAAGTCCCCTGATAAAACGTTAAATCTTCTTGTTTAAGTTATCACATTTATCGATAAGATTTCTATATTCTTCGAAAATATAACGGTGTTTACAGTCTTCTTATTTTTACTGAAAATGATAAAATAAGCCGTACAATAATTTCTAATGCCGTGAGTAGATATGGGTCAACTTTTAATGTTCAATACTGGCGCTCGGAGCTACCTGGCACGTGGTCCGTGGCCTGGTGCCTATAAGTGTTATCAAGGCCATTGTCGTCCTAAAAGAAAATTTGTTGTCCACTTTTCACCCAATGAAAAAGAACAAAACAAAACAAAAAATATAAATTTTTTTCAGCTTAGTTCGCAGTTATGTTTAGTCATCTGAGAATTTAAACGTAACAACTTACTGAAAATATTCAACGATCAGTCGTAAAACTTGGAATTTATCAATTTTATGATTTGCAATATTGTAACTTACCTAAAGTAAATATTTAAACCTACGGTTAATTAGTCGATGGTTTTTCTAATCGGAATTTCATAATCTCCGCGGATTTTTTTGCATGGTTCAACATTGTATCCATGATTACTACGATTATTCCTATTAAGGTCCTTGGGCATAGTATTCAAAGTGCAATATGTCCATGTTACTTTCCTGATATCTATGAACCCATAGAGATCTAACTTATAACATTAAAAAACTTGATGTACAATTCGCGCGTATATAACTATATAATTTCGAACGTGAATTAAATTCATGTGTTTTGAATAGTTTTTAAAACATAAGTATTCTGATAAAACGTAAAACCTAAATGGCAATTCTTATTCTGAATGCATAAATACTAGAAATAATGCTTTTTGAACTTTTGAAGTTACAAAACGAAGCTATATTTTATTTCGAAGTAAAAGTAAACCGTTACAAATTTCTGTTAACAAATAATCTTTTGGCCCTTCTGTAAAGAGAAATGTCAGAGATTGTAATGTCTTATTTGTTATATTGGAGTTTGTCGCCTTTGAAATGTCCGATATTTCTTATGCTCGAGATTGTGTTCGTGGCATTGGAGTGTTTAAAGAGTATGTTTCTACTGGATAATACGTATGCGAATTTTATTCGAGTTTGAGGTACTGTAACTGTGATGAACGGTTCTTAGTAGTTTTCACGCATAGTGTTTAACCTAAATCTGATTCACGTTTCCCCAAAGGGTGAGCAACANTCGCCTTTGAAAAGTCCGATATTTCTTATGCTCGAGATTGTGTTCGTGGCATTGGAGTGTTTAAAGAGTATGTTTCTACTGGATAATACGTATGCGAATTTTATACGAGTTTGAGGTACTGTAACTGTGATGAACGGTTTTTAGTAGTTTTCACGCATATTGTTTAACCTAAATCTGATTCATGGTTTCCCAAAGGGTGAGCAACAATATTAGTTCTCACCTAACTTTTCGCGAATGATTCAATGTGGAAAACATCCTAGATTAATGGATATCCACAGTTGAAATGATTCTTGTTTAAGTTATCACATTTATCGATAAGATTTCTATATTCTTCGATAATATAACGGTGTTTACAGACTTCTTATTTTTACTGAAAATGATATAATAAGCTGAACAATAATTTCAAGTGCCGTAAGTAGATATGGGTCAACTTTTAATGTTCAATACTGGCGCTCGGAGCTACCTGGCACGTCGTCCGTGGCCTAGTGCCTATAAGTGTTATCAAGGCCATTGTCGTCCTTAAAGCAAATTTGTTGTCCACTATTCACACAATGAAAAACAAATAAACAAAACAACAAATATACATTTTTTTCGGCTGGTTTCGCAGTTATGTTTAGTCATCTGAGAATTTAAACGTAACAACTTACTGAAAATATTCAACGATCAGTCGTAAAACCTGGCACGTGGTCCGTGGCCTGGTGCCTATAAGTGTTATCAAGGCCATTGTCGTCCTTAAAGAAAATTTGTTGTCCACTTTCGCCCAATGAAAAAAAACAAAACAAAACAAAAAATATAAATTTTTTTCAGCTTAGTTCGCAGTTATGTTTAGTCATCTGAGAATTTAAACGTAACAACTTACTGAAAATATTCAACGATCAGTCGTAAAACTTGGAATTTATCAATTTTATGATTTGCAATATTGTAACTTACCTAAAGTAAATATTTAAACCTACGGTTAATTAGTCGATGGTTTTTCTAATCGGAATTTCATAGTCTCCGCGGATTTTTTTGCATGGTTCAACATTGTATCCATGATTACTACGATTATTCTTATTATGGTCTTTTGGCATAGTATTCCAAGTGCTCTATGTCCATGTTCCTTTCCTATAATCTATGAATCCATAGATATCTAACTAATAACTTTAAAAAACTTGATGTACAATTCATGCGTATATAACTATATAATTTCGAACGCGAATTTAATTCATGTGTTTTGAATAGTTTTTAAAACATAAGTCCCCTGATAAAACGTTAAATCTTAATGGCATTTCTTATTCTGAATGCATATATACTAGAAATAATGCTTTTGAACCTTTAAAGTTACAAAAGGATGCTTTATTTATTTCAATGTAAAAGTAAACCGCTTCAAATTTCTGTTAACAAATAATCTTTTGGCCCTTCTGTAAAGAGATATGTCAGAGATTGTAATGTCTTATTTGTTATGTTGGNACGCGAATTTAATTCATGTGTTTTGAATAGTTTTTAAAACATAAGTCCCCTGATAAAACGTTAAATCTTAATGGCATTTCTTATTCTGAATGCATATATACTAGAAATAATGCTTTTGAACCTTTAAAGTTACAAAAGGATGCTTTATTTATTTCAATGTAAAAGTAAACCGCTTCAAATTTCTGTTAACAAATAATCTTTTGGCCCTTCTGTAAAGAGATATGTCAGAGATTGTAATGTCTTATTTGTTATGTTGGAGTTTGTCGCCTTTGAGATGTCCGATATTTCTTATGCTTGAGATTGTGTTCGTGGCATTGAAGAGTTTAAAGAGTATGTTTCTGCTGGATAATACGTATGCGAATTTTATTCGAGTTTGTGGTACCGTAAATGTGATGAACGGTTCTTAGTAGTTTGCACACATAGTGTTTAACCTAAATCTGTTTCACGTTTCCCCAAAGGGTGAGCAACAATATTGGGCCTCACTTAACTTTTCTCGAATGATTCAATGTGGAAAACATCCTAGAATTATGGATATCCACAGTTGAAATGATTCTTGTTTAAGTTATCACATTTATCGATAAGATTTCTATATTCATCGATAATATAACGGTGTTTACAGTCTTCTTATTTTTACTGAAAATGATAAAATAAGCCGTACAATAATTTCTAATGCCGTGAGTAGATATGGGTCAACTTTTAATGTTCAATACTGGCGCTCGGAGCTACCTGGCACGTCGTCCGTGGCCTAGTGCCTATAAGTGTTATCAAGGCCATTGTCGTCCTAAAAGAAAATTTGTTGTCCACTTTTCACCCAATGAAAAAGAACAAAACAAAACAAAAAATATAAATTTTTTTCAGCTTAGTTCGCAGTTATGTTTAGTCATCTGAGAATTTAAACGTAACAACTTACTGAAAATATTCAACGATCAGTCGTAAAACTTGGAATTTATCAATTTTATGATTTGCAATATTGTAACTTACCTTAAGTAAATATTGAAACCTACGGTTAATTAGTCGATGGTTTTTCTAATCGGAATTTCATAATCTCCGCGGATTTTTTTGCATGGTTCAACATTGTATCCATGATTACTACGATTATTCCTATTAAGGTCCTTGGGCATAGTATTCAAAGTGCAATATGTCCATGTTACTTTTCTGTAATCTGTGAAACCATAGATCTCTAACTAATAACTTTAAAAAACTTGATGTACAATTCATGCGTAAATAACTATATAATTTTGAACGCGAATTTAATTCATGTGTTTTGAATAGTTTTTAAAACATAAGTCCCCTGATAAAACGTTAAATCTTAATGGCATTTCTTATTCTGAATGCATATATACTAGAAATAATGCTTTTGAACCTTTAAAGTTACAAAAGGATGCTTTATTTATTTCAATGTAAAAGTAAACCGCTTCAAATTTCTGTTAACAAATAATCTTTTGGCCCTTCTGTAAAGAGATATGTCAGAGATTGTAATGTCTTATTTGTTATGTTGGAGTTTGTCGCCTTTGAGATGTCCGATATTTCTTATGCTTGAGATTGTGTTCGTGGCATTGAAGAGTTTAAAGAGTATGTTTCTGCTGGATAATACGTATGCGAATTTTATTCGAGTTTGAGGTACTGAAACTGTGATGAACGGTTCTTAGTAGTTTTCACGCAAAGTGTTTAACCTAAATCTGATTCACGTTTCCCCAAAGGGTGAGCAACAATATTGGTTCTCACCTATCTTTTCACGAATGATTCAATGTGGAAAACATCCTAGATTAATGGATATCCACAGTTGAAATGATTCTTTTTTAAGTTATCACATTTATCGATAAGATTTCTATATTCATCGATAATATAACAATGTGATGAACGGTTCTTAGTAGTTTGCACACATAGTGTTTAACCTAAATCTGTTTCACGTTTCCCCAAAGGGTGAGCAACAATATTGGGCCTCACTTAACTTTTCTCGAATGATTCAATGTGGAAAACATCCTAGAATTATGGATATCCACAGTTGAAATGATTCTTTTTTAAGTTATTAAATTTATCGATAAGATTTCTATATTCTTCGAAAATATAACGGTGTTTACAGTCTTCTTATTTTTACTGAAAATGATATAATAAGCTGTACAATAATTTCTAGTGCCGTTAGTAGTTATGGGTCATTTTTTTATGTTCAATACTGGCGCTCGGAGCTACCTGGCACGTGGTCCGTGGCCTGGTGCCTATAAGTGTTATCAAGGCCATTGTCGTCCTAAAAGAAAATTTGTTGTCCACTTTTCACCCAATGAAAAAAAACAAAACAAAACAAAAAATATACATTTTTATCAGCAGGTTTCGAAGTTATGTTTAGTCATCTGAGAATTTTAACGTAACAACTTACTGAATACATTCAACGATCAGTCGTAAAACTTCGAATTTATCAATTTTATGATTTGCAATATTGTAACTTACCTAAAGTAAATATTTAAACCTATGGTTAATTAGTCGACTGATGGTTTTTCTAATCGGAATTTCATTGTCTCCGCGGATTTTTTTGCATGGTTCAACATTGTATCCCTGATTACTACGATTATTCTTATAAGGGTCTTTTGGCATAGTATTCCAAGTGCTCTATGTCCATGTTACTTTCCTGTAATCTATGAATCCATAGATATCTCACTTATAACTTTAAAAAACTTGATGTACAATTCGCGCGTATATAACTATATAATTTCGAACGTGAATTTAATTCATGTGTTTTGAATAGTTTTTAAAACATAAGTCCTCCTATAAAACGTAAAACCTTAATGGCATTTCTTATTCTGAATGCATACATACTAGAAATAATGCTTTTGAACCTTTAAAGTTACAAAAGGATGCTTTATTTATTTCAATGTAAAAGTAAACCGCTTCAAATTTCTGTTAACAAATAATCTTTTGGCCCTTCTGTAAAGAGATATGTCAGAGATTGTAATGTCTTATTTGTTATGTTGGAGTTTGTCGCCTTTGAGATGTCCGATATTTCTTATGCATAAATACTAGAAATAATGCTTTTGAACTTTTGAAGTTACAAAAGGATGCTATATTTTATTTCAAAGTAAAAGTAAACCGCTTCAAATTTCTGTTAACAAATAATCTTTTGGCCCTTTTGTAACGAGAAATGTCAGAGATTGTAATGTCTTATTTGTTATATTGGAGATTGTCGCCTTTGAAAAGTCCGATATTTCTTATGCTCGAGATTGTGTTCGTGGCATTGGAGTGTTTAAAGAGTATGTTTCTACTGGATAATACGTATGCGAATTTTATTCGAGTTTGAGGTACTGAAACTGTGATGAACGGTTCTTAGTAGTTTGCACCCATAGTGNAAGTAAATATTGAAACCTACGGTTAATTAGTCGATGGTTTTTCTAATCGGAATTTCATAATCTCCGCGGATTTTTTTGCATGGTTCAACATTGTATCCATGATTACTACGATTATTCCTATTAAGGTCCTTGGGCATAGTATTCAAAGTGCAATATGTCCATGTTACTTTTCTGTAATCTGTGAAACCATAGATCTCTAACTAATAACTTTAAAAAACTTGATGTACAATTCATGCGTATATAACTATATAATTTCGAACGCGAATTTAATTCATGTGTTTTGAATAGTTTTTAAAACATAAGTCCCCTGATAAAACGTTAAATCTTAATGGCATTTCTTATTCTGAATGCATATATACTAGAAATAATGCTTTTGAACCTTTAAAGTTACAAAAGGATGCTTTATTTATTTCAATGTAAAAGTAAACCGCTTCAAATTTCTGTTAACAAATAATCTTTTGGCCCTTCTGTAAAGAGATATGTCAGAGATTGTAATGTCTTATTTGTTATGTTGGAGTTTGTCGCCTTTGAGATGTCCGATATTTCTTATGCTTGAGATTGTGTTCGTGGCATTGAAGAGTTTAAAGAGTATGTTTCTGCTGGATAATACGTATGCGAATTTTATTCGAGTTTGAGGTACTGAAACTGTGATGAACGGTTCTTAGTAGTTTTCACGCATAGTGTTTAACCTAAATCTGATTCACGTTTCCCCAAAGGGTGAGCAACAATATTGGTTCTCACCTAACTTTTCGCGAATGATTCAATGTGGAAAACATCCTAGATTTATGGATATCCACAGTTGAAATGATTCTTGTTTAAGTTATCACATTTATCGATAAGATTTCTATATTCTTCGAAAATATAACGGTGTTTACAGTCTTCTTATTTTTACTGAAAATGATATAATAAGCCGTACAATAATTTCTAATGCCGTGAGTAGATATGGGTCAACTTTTAATGTTCAATACTGGCGCTCGAAGATAGCGAAAAAAAAATAGAAAATAAAAATAATTACAAGAATTTATATTGAAAATGTACATAATATCGCCCATGTATAATATGCTTTCGGATTTATAGAAATAGTGTTCTAAATAAAATTAATTAATTTTTTACACAAAACACTGCGGACAAAATATAACAATAATATGGGTTCGGTACATATTATACGTATTATATTATATTATAACAAAGAAAAAAATTACAAATAAAAGACGTACATACTTCGCACGATAGATGGATAAAAAATCGAAAAGTGACCTCCCTCATTGAAAATCGGAGTAAGATTTCTAGTAGAAAAGTTGTTCAAAAATAAAAAAAATACATTATTTTTTAACTAATACCTACATTTCGTACATTTCTAGTTTTTTCTCCATGTTTTCCAGATTTTTCTCATTTATTGGATTAAAAATAAAATAAACATCGTTGTAAAACCAATACATTTCTCGCTTCGTATAATTTATTATAAAGGAGGTTCAGTGTGATCATTTAAGTTATCCTGAAGCGGTGAACTTTTGGAAATTTTATAGAAAGGAGGCTAGAATCGTATTTACTAATGTTGCAGGCATCTTTTCAAACTCAGGTTTAGGTTTACTATTACGATCGAAATCAAAAATACTGTACACAATAATTTTTTACAAGTATATTTATTGGATAAAAATAACCAAACACTTTAATATATTTCACAAAGTAGTCTGGCGTCAAGAATATTTAAAAAAGACAAATTCAATTTTAAAAATGGTTTATCTTTAACCGTGCATGTTATTTACTATTAGTGATTAAATATTAATAAAATTGTATGTTATAAGTTTTTAATTTATTTAACCTCTTGTTCCTAACTGTTATGTGCTGAGTATACTCGTGCCACCGAGAGAACGCTACTCCTTCGCGCATCTATAATAAGGTTTCGTGCTTACATTTCTCCTACTCTACTACCTACTCACCGTTTTAAATTCCCCGGCCGAGCGGAAAATAAGTTGTATACAGCGTACTGAAATAATAAAAACGAAAATAATAACTCTTGGTGACTGTCGCACATAGTAGATACCAATATGTATGTACCATACATATTTAGTTACATAGTTTTACCTATACAATAACAATAACAAATAACATGTATTTATATTTTTTTATGTATGCATTTATTTATTCATTCATACATGCATTTGTTTAAATAATACCGAAAAATAAAAAAATTAATTAAAATACAAATGCAAAAAAAAAAATAATAAATTGAAAATCAATTTCAGTCTAAATCTGATTCTGTTGTTGAACCTGTTCCCATTGTTAGAATACAACGTTCTCCTTCATTAAGTTATGCGTCCATAATTTTGTCAGTTATGTTGTCGACATCCCAAAATTTCTGTTTTTCCTTTACGACATGTCCCACAAATTTCGTCCACATTTCCGGTATTACGTGTTCCACCGCTCTTTTTAATATATCTTCGACGTCTTTAAGCTTGAATGTGTTGTTATGTGTCCGAACATAGCTTTTGACAGATGACCAGGCGAGCTCGATCGGGTTCAGCTCACAGTGGTATGGAGGCAATCTTAATATGGTTTTGTTATTGTCTTTTATGTATTCATCAATGACATATTTATCATGTTGGTATTTCATTATCTGGACTTTTTCCAATAACAGCGCTTTTATTGTTGGCTGGGTAACAATCTCACCTTTACTTCTCAGCCAACTTATATCTTCTTTTTTCCAAGACATTACTGAAATTTTATCTTTCATAACCGAATGATTTGGACCATTGTCCATTACAATTACGGCATTTTCTTTAAAAAATGGCAAAATGTTTACGAGACATTGAAAAAGAGTATCACCATTCATTGCTTCGTTATAGTCTACTGAATTTGTTTTTGATTCGAAGCACAAAAGGCCCCCAGGGACAAAGCCGACAGTCGATCCGATGTGTAATACAATCAGCCGTTTACCTTTAATAAAGGGTTCCTTTAGTCCCGTGATAGGGCTTCTAAGAATTGCGTCACGTGGTAAAACTACCGTACTGTCGACCCATGTTCTCTTATGTGTTTCACCTGCGTTGACTCACGTCTCATCCAAATAATACACCGGTTAATTTTGTGCTCTATATTGCCTTATTTGATCTGTAAT